CGCTCTTCCTTTATTATTTTACGGACTCTGTAGCCTCTGTAATGGCTCTGAACAACGATGGCTGCTTTTTCTTCTGTTTTAGGAAGAGCACTCTTCACTCCAGCTGTGCTTTCCTCATTGTCCTGAAGATCTTCATCCTTTTCCTTTTTGCTAATTGATGCTGTATTTTCAGTTTGTTTCTTTCTAAGTGATTCCCTGAATGAAATAGAGTTTTGGGCAAAAATTATAGCTGAAGGAGATGAAGGATAGTCACAACTTTACAACTGCCTTTGCTGGTGTTTGTGTACTAAATGGCAATTTGATACATTGCAATATGGGAAAGATTTAGTGCACATAGCTGGAATTAAAGACAGGAAACAAATCTCTGTCTTTCTGATGTTTCTTAATTAAAGAGAGAAGGGACATCCCTGTTACACTCTTAATAGAAAATTGCTAGGGGGACAATCTGGGCTGCATAAGGGCTGATAAAACAGTAAATAATTAATTTAATTGTTAAAAAAAAACAAGGCAGAAACTTTCTAGCACCCCCAGTATGTATAAATAAGCACAATACTAAATATATTAATGGAAGAAAACTGTGTCAAGTCACACTAGGAATGCAAAAACAATGATCCTGGGCATAGGTCCAGGTCAAATTTGAAAGACCTAATTCCTTAACTGCCTTTGGGACCATCAATACAAACTTAATTGCCAGGGGAAATCTGCCAACCTGTTCCTTCCCTCAGAAAGACTCTGGACTTCTTCACAGCTGTTTTGTTCCTCCCTGGACTACTCTTCACCTAATTAAATGCTATCACTGAAAAAAACGATGGTGATGTTACAAGTGTTACTCGTTCCATTACAGAGAGTGGGACTACAACCACACAGCAGATACTTAGAACTAACTTTTAGCTGTGTGATCTGAGCAAGGCATCTGGGTTCCCCCTGTCATCACCTATGCTCATCTCAAACAGTGACTTGAGATGAACAGTTCCATGAGGCCTATTTCTTTCTCATCTCAGCATTTTTTATCATGAGCTAGTTCCAAAAAGAGAACATTAGTTACAATCACATTATAAGTAAACACAATATTTTTCATCTTTCTCCTAAATATGTTTTTATTCCCTGGGCTTAAAAATCTGAGAAAATTTGCTACTGACGTTTAGTGCTCCACATAAATGTGCATTACCTCTGCATATCTATTGCTCCACTTTTAGTTTACATTGCTGTTTGTCATCATTATAGTAACTGAACAGGTACACATTTGAGTGACAGAAGAGATAGAAAGTAACACTACCTTCTCCTTTTGAAGTTCTTCCTCTCCTTATATCCCCTGTAGTGAGACTGAATTGTTATTGCTGCTTTGTTTCTTGTCTCAGCTAGTTCTTTTCTCTTCTTCCTGAGTAAGTATCCTCTGGCAACTGATACAAATTGTAATACAAAACAACCTTAGGCAACAAGCAGTGGGTGTCCTACACAATTCAGAGAGCCAAATGATAACAACATTAAACATAAACCAATATAGAAACACGGGCTGAGGTGGTTACATTTTTTTTTATTATGGTTACGTTTACTCTGAAGTTACTCCATCCAACAAAACTTTGAGATTTCAGAAAGCTGCACTCATTCTACATGAGGATACAAAAAATCTCTTTCTTTGTATGTTATTGGACTAAATAAAATACAGGAAAATGTAGAATGAAGGAGAAGCACAGTGCTATAGAAATGTTTCTAGAACATAGTGGTCTCAGCTTCATGTATCTGCTTTGCCTGATTCAGGCAACTGATTTGATTTTAATTTCCTTGGCAAATGCCTGATTATCAGGCTATAGAGATTACCGGGCTCTCTTCTGCCTCTCTTGGAATTAGCTGAATATTCACTAGGTCAGAAAGAAACTGAAACTTTTATAGCTCAGCAGTTACAGCAGACTTAGCTCATGCTCCTTTTGCAAAGGTTCGTTTTCAAAATGAAAAAGCTCAGCATGAAAGATGTGCCAAGTTCCACGGGAACCAGGTGCACTGTGGCAAGGGTACTTGCTGTTGTGCTTTGTGGGAGGCACAAGTTCTAGTTTCTAGTCTGAACCAGAGTGAATAAGGACTCAAACATGGGTCTTCCCTGAGACTTTTAGGCCCTGACTAGTCACTAGGGGCTTGATGCAGTTGCAGACAGACAGATTATCTAGTGCCATCTGAAGTGCTCCAGGATAGCATGGAGTTGGCAGAAAGAACAAGAGAGATGGGACTTTCTGGAGAGAAAAAGCTGGGTATGCCACATGAAGTAAAGATGGAGGCCAGGCAAGATAACCTAGGGCATCTCAAATTACACTAGATACCAATATGGGGGCAAATGAGATGAGCATTTGGCGGTTTTAAATAAAATGAATCAAGCTCTAGGCTCTGCTAACTGTAAGAGGAATTTAGACCCCTAGGTCACTTTTAAACACCTGCAATGAAGTGTCTTAGAAACTGAACTGCATTCAATGTTGCTTCCAAAATTCCTGAACTTGCAAATAATTTCCTAATGGGAACTGGCACAGTCTCCTCAAAGCTATGACTTGGACAAGTCTGCAATTCCAGGAATTCAGCACAAATCCACTAATTCCTGGCAAAATAAAAAGAACATAGTGTTTTGTCAAAATATTTCTGCTATAATCTAATTCCAAATGCAGTACCAAGACTATGGGGGTAGAGGATTTAGGTGATTTAAATACCACAGGGAGATGGTAGATACGGGAGCTCTTACTCCAACTCCACTGAGAGTTCTGCATCACAGGAAAAGGTCAAGCTCCCTTACGAAGACGAAGGGAGCACAGGCAGTCTGTTCTCACACATTCATATAACTTGATAGTAGGTTGTATTTGCTTAAGCGTCCCTACTTATTTTTAGACAAACTGGAGCTCCACTAGATGCAGTAGTTCAGTGTTAGAAGCACAGTAAAAAAAGGACATAAATTACATCTTGATAATTTGACATAGGGGAAAGGAACTCAAATACTTCTTGGAAGTGGCACAATTGGTTTTTATACTGCAGTCTGACAGGGCCTCAGAAAAGTGCAAATTGTAAAGCACTTGAAATACTTCTAGAGATTCTTGGACTTCTAAGCCAATCTTCACTCCATTTTCATATAAAAGCAATAAATCAAGTTACATTGTCAATGGACATGCCAATATAAGCTAAGCCTGATCTTTTTAGACTTACTCTGGTTCACCTTTGAAGTTTCCTGAGAACTTTGTTATGAGATAATGGCTGTCAAAGCTTTATTTTCAAACTGGAAGAGTTTTGTATTGCTTTAAAGATAAATGGGGGAAAAAAACCTGAGAGAGCTAAGTACAAATTTACTTCCATTTTGCTTTGGCTTCTCATGCACTGGAAAAAGTTTAAATGAAACTGCACACAGGACTGAGAAGGTGGACAAGAAGAAACATTGGGAAGATCAACAAACAGAGTAAAAGGGTCAATTCTTAGTTTAGCACTTGCTAAATATCCAAACATAATTGACAGCTTCAGATGTGTCATTATTTAGGCACATCATTGGGTTTTATTTTGGTTTTTCACACTGATGACGTTCTATCAACTGCAGTGAAGGGCTCTTCAGTACACGCTAACTTTGGTTCAGAGCAATTAACAGAGGCATCTGACAACAAATAAAACCAGCTCTGGTATTGATATGTACTTATAAAGGCATATCTGAGGTAGTTTGAATCTAGATAGCCTGGGTACTGGCAGTACTAGTTTATATTTCAGGTTGCTACCTCTCTAATTACTGAAAGTGCTGTGCAGATTTGTGCCAGCTGTTTTCAGACTTGTGCTTTTCTAGTTGTACTGCTGCTGATTTCAGAGCTGCCTCAACTACATCTGGCATGGGGACATCTCTGCAGGGGTAGGGGAGACAGAAATATAGGGAGGAAAAAGGCATGTGTCATAGCACACATCTGGGCCCAAGGTGATACTGCTACACAATTTTGCTAGGTTGAGTTGAGCGATGGCAAAAAAGAATCCAAGACATGAGTGAAATTACAGGTTGAATCTCCTCAAACATAACTATTACTGATACATAACAAAAGCTACTCCTAATAGAACAGTACAGACACACATTATATGCAGACAGCATCATATGGTACTTCAACAATAACATTAACCATTTAACCAACCCACCTCTCATCTGTGGAAAGTGCTCCTAAGCCACGCTGAGGTACAGGTAAGGGAATACATTGACCCTCTCAACCACTGTATGTTGATACATAATAGATAAATTATACCTCAGAATGTGTAAATGAGCATACTCAATCAGTATAACCAGGTAACAGCAAAGAATCTGGATCAACATATTGTGTATGGATAGTATATTAAAAGACAAATGCAAACAATTCTTACTTGCTTGAAGTCTAGTAATATATTCTTCCACTTTTCTATTACGTTTGGCATTTCTGTATTCTTTACGAGCAACAAAACCCCTGTAAGCTGAAAAGAGATGTCAAAAATTAAATAGTCCACTAGGTACCCAAAAGGCTGCAAGAACAGTAAAAGTCTGGAAGGAACTACAGACCTCCATTTAGATATTAATAAATATTTTCCAGGCTTTTTCTTTCAAAAAAACATGGCTAACAAGGACAAGCAGTAAATCTACATAAAAACTGTTTTCTGGTGAGTAAAGTTATTACAAATGAAATTAATAAAAACCACATGAGAATCAGCATGTAAAATAAGATGATGTTTGAAATGTATTAAAATTTCAGTTGATGGCTCCATCAACAGTGTAACTGGTCTTATTATCTAGGACAGTTAATACATTTTATTTTCATTATTATATTATACAGCCTTGTCAGAACATGCCAGAATATTATTAATAACAGTATTATCTGTGCAATCGTGTCCTTCCATTGTTAAAATTGCCTTTTAAATGTAACATTGATCAATGTAGCTTCAGTAAAGAGATTGTCATAACCTGGTTAAAAGAAATTGGTTTTTGTAAGAACAGATATCACCAAGTATAAGATGTTTTGTCAAATACAACAGCAGGAAAATAGCAAAATCCACATCCAGCGTGCACATCCATCTACCAACTGTACACACACACAAGAAAAATGTTAAATTTTTAAAGCTATTACCTGACTGTATTTTAATAGCACTTTGTTCCCTTTGTTCTTTTATCTTTTTGTATCTCCTTGAACCCAGCCATCCTCTGACACAAGCTTGAATCAAAATAATCATGTCAACAGTCTCCTTCCGCATTAAATTTAACTGCTCCACATGATAGTATTTGAGGAATACCTTAAAAAGAGTAGGCAGACATGGGAAAGGTTTAGTTACCCTCCCAGGCCCTGTATTCATTCAATCCATTTAACATCAACAAGATTTACAGGTTGGTTTCAAAGGATGAACAGACTCTTCAGCTGTAGTACCTAAAGGTTCATTCATGTTACAGATAGCATTCTGATTGTTTGGGTTATTGGTTTACCTTATTCTCCCCCCTGCTTGTTCATACTTTCACAGAAAATGTATTAAAGTCCCACTGTAAAACTTAGTCTGTAACTATAAATCTGTTTTCAAAACTATGAGACTGAGAGTCTTGCTAACCTCAAAAATCTAACATATGTTACAAAAACATGATCCAAATCTGAAACCTGAAGCCTCTCTTCTTTCCAATTTTAAATCAAAGGCATTGCTTACTTACTAATTGCTTTCATCAAGCATAAAGCTCATATAATTCCTGAAAAACTAGTTCAGCACAAGGGATACAAATACATTCCTGGTGTATATTAGGAGCAAATAAAATATGTAGAAAGAGCTTGTGCAATTAAGACAACTGTGCTTGTTTTGCAGTGTTCCCCTAATTTTTGACCACTCATTGTACAGATTGAGGTGAATCCTAATTAAAGTAAACATAAGCTATAGATCTCACATCTCAAGATAGTTTACTTTGGCTGCATATTGTCCACTAGCCTCATTAAGACAGCAGAGGGAAAAAGCTGAGGAGGAGACAACATCCCTCAGAAAGAAGAACAGCTATTTCTTCTGCACTGAGGTGATTTCAAACAATTCATGATCCATCTCTCTCTATATCCATATTATTCCTGGGCACTTCTGTTACATTACCAAATAGAGAGACTTGGTGCAGTACTTGTCTGACACTTCTTTTCTCTGGCAGACCTCCTGAGATCTGTCAGTTGGGAGTGGGTGGGTGCCCCTCTCTGGCACACTAGCAACACTAGTGAGCTAGAACCGAAAGCTAGAGTATGAGAACAGACATGTTTCTTTATTATAAAGTCTTCCCTCACTTCACATACATGAACATACATCACACATACATCCTCCCTCAGTGCTCAGCAAAACCTGCCACAGAGGCCTCTGGCTGGAAAGCCAAAACCTTTTCCTCTCCCTTAGTGAGTCTGACTGCTCCTGGGAAGAAGTATTCTTTCATTTCCTTAAGGAAGCTTGCACTAAGCTCACTGAGATCCTTACTACCACTTTTTTTAAAAATAAAATGCAAGCAGTGTTATTGTCACATCCTGCTTTGCACTGTGGCCTCACTAAAGCTAATCAGGATTTTAACACTTACAGGATTTCAGCCAGATGTCAGGGAACAGTAGCCAGCAAAGGCTGTTTTCTTAAACCAACACAGACCATGAGCTACCCCAACCAGTAAAAAGTAAGGTTCAGAAAACAAATTGCTTAATAAGCTAACTGTGACATACTGCAATAATGCAGATATGGGGTATTAAAAAATTACTTTAGTTTTTCCAAGAACCCAGTTGTCAAGATGGGCTTTTTCCAAGATGGCAGCACAGGTTTCCGGGCTGACTGGAGGATCATCATTTGTTTTGTAACAGATGAGGTAATACCTAAAGACAAATATACAATAATTTATTCCATTAATGTCAAGTAATAGATGCAAATACATTTAAACCATTTATTTAAATAATAAAAGCAGTTGCATGAAAGAAATCATAGCACAGAAAAAACCAAAACAGCATATGGAAGAAATTGCTGTGACTTATATGCAGTACTGAGAAACTCAGTCAAAAGTGGATGAGTTACCTGTTGCACACCCTGGGGGGTTGTATAGTTCTGTATCAACACCAGAAGGTTTTAAAAAAGTGAGCAATCCAAGTAGATTTGTGTACCAGTTCTTTGCTGCACTAGCTCTCTGGGTTCTGTGAAAGTGATTTTAGTAGCAAAAGAAAAATATTTTTCAAGTTATTTTACCTAAGTCAGCTTATTTAGAAATGTAATGAAAATTTCCTATCTTGTCTCATGTGACAGACCATCTACCTTTAAGGTAGTTAATATTATGTGAGATACACCCCAGTTCTTGTTACCTCCTTGAATTTAGTTTTGTAGATACTTTGCAACATATACGTGCCATTATGACACATCATAAGCATTTAATCTGGCAAACTCATTACTCAGAACTCTAAGTAGGAAAGGAGGTCAGAATGCTCATGAATAAAAATTACCTATAACACACCAGCTCCACTGCTAGGTAGGAAAGTTTTTGCATTCCAGGACTTCCCAAAATGTTCCCTAACAAAATCTCCAGTACTGGAGATCTGCACAGCATCTCTGCAATCAGGGCCATGCTCTCTGGAAAGATACCCTGTTATGTTCACTGTTTTCCTCTCTTGTACCTGAACAGTAAAATGTGTTATAAAAAGCAGTGACCAAAAGCCACAGCACATCTTGTTGATCTTGTTGCAGTGATAACTACTTTTTCCCATGCTCCACTCTTCCAAAACGGTGATAGTCTCAGGATTAGTCCTCCCAGAAACAGTGCTGTAAAAACATCACTTTGTCCTTCCTCTCCTTCCTGTGCACCTGCAGCACTCTGCTGCTAGCTCCCTTAGTGCACTATTATTTTTAAGTGCTTCTGTCTGACTGGGTGTTGTTCACTTCTTCCCAGTTTTGTTCTCCATTCCATAAATCTCAGATCAGATTCAGGAAAATACTCAGGGTCTCTATTTGTAAGAGAGAAGTACAGATTAAGTGCTCAGGATTGATTTTTTTGGGGTGGAGAAAGGAGATAGTTAAAGGAATTATAAAATCACATTGGGTTCATTACTCTTCTTCTTAACAAGTGACTAATACTTCAAACTTATATTTTAAACAAAACTATGCACTTCATGAACTTCTTAGCCGTAGATTAGCAAAACCAAATTACCACCCACCCTGCACAAGTAGATGCTGCACAGTGCTGAATGTCAGGAGCTAGAGAAACTGGTGCTCCTTGGATGCTATTGCTTGGCTTTTATTTGAAACACTACATTTCTAAACCTCAAGTCTTTCAGAAAACTTGTAGATGATAAGCAAGACATTTTTTACCCAAATACACAGGGAGCCTGGAACAATAATCCTGAGATGCATCATCTTCCCCTGTCAATCCATATGAGTCACTAATCTTGTGCCTGAACTGCTCTTTGTCATCTAGTCTGTAATCTTCCTTGTCTCAGGAAACGCCTTTACATTTTTTCTTTAAAGACCATACCAAAGACACTGCTGATGCACAGCAAACATTGGGCAGTAACAATAGGAGAGAAAGAGGCTTCTTCACATCAATATTACCGTTTTATGAAGTTAGCAAAGAGTATACGGTGTGAATAACCCTGTCTTCGGATTCTTGCTGTCTCCAGAATTCCCGTGTAACGCAGCTGAACCAACACTTTTTCTTTATCAAACTTGTTTGCCTGCCGGTCGTTGTTGGGCTTGATGCACCTGACGAAATGAGGCTGCCCCACAACCATTTTGGATAGCAAATCCATCAGAGAATACTGCAAGAAAATGACAAGATTTCTGCCACCAGGATATTTATAGAAGTTGCACCTAGGTCCGTGTGTAGCTGAAATTTTATTTCATGTGATCAGAATTATGCCCAAAGGCACTTACACTTCAGTAAGCTGGTACTTCAATGGTAGATGAAGTAAACAACCCAACAACAATTCTAGCTTTGATAAGCTTTCTGAGTTACAATCATGTACTACCTGAGAGAAACACGGATTCCTAATGGATGTACCAAATTCCACCCAGAACATTCTCACAAACTGCCATAATCTCTAACCTACAACAGAAACTCTCCTTATATATATTTGCTTGTCTTGGAGCATTGTTAGGTAATTACAGCCCACTTTTTTTCCTGTTGTCACCTATCTGAAGATCCTTATTCACCTAGAGAGTAAATCGTCTGTCTACAGATGGGAAGTGGAAGAGCAACAAGTCAGTAAATATTGCTATCTCTTCATTAGACTGGAGGAAACAAAGGTCATCCTGGAAGAGAAGCTGCTTAAACTGCTCTGATCTGGCAGACCATTCCATAGGCTGATGGTGATACTAGAGCTGCCCTTCCAAGAGGAAACTATTGAGGATGGCAAAACTACACAAAATTACAGTTCCAAAGTCACACTTTTTCCACCTCACTAGGGTTCCAGGCTAGCAGGGGGGATGCAGTTTTTACCTCCCCATGCCAACTGAGGAGAATCTGGCTGTAAACAACATTGAGTGGTGTTTTGGAAAATTGCTTCATGGGAGGATCTTATTAAAACAGAGATGAGAGACTCATTCCTCAAGATACAACCTGATTTAACAGAAAGGAGGTAATGCAGTTCAGCAGTAGGTTGGATACATGAAACTAGTGTAGGACATCAAGAGCCATATGTTTCCTATTAAAATGTGCAATTCTATTCTGGACAGATGCTGTAAAGTGCGTAATTGGCTTCATCACTAGTGTGCCAATTGAACACAAACAAGTAGGACACACTAATGGATATATTTTTTTTCCACTCAGTCTGAGGTGGCAGATGCTTTTCTCAATTACCTATAGACTTCTGCATATGAGTAAACTACTGGGGCTGAAGCTAAATCTTCAATTAAGAGCATTAGCTAGCATGATCTGAGCAGAGATTTCCACTGCAGAATATAACAACAGAAAAGTGTAAATACAATTAACTCATTTGCTGATAATGCACTGAATCACAGACATTAGATTTGAATGAGTTTCAATACACTTTTCTATCTAGAACTTTAAAATACCATCCAGCTTTGGACTAGCATGATATCTAAGGTTAAATTATCCTTTACAGTCTATAAGCTGAGCAATGGCATCTACTGAACAGAGATCTTGCTCCTTACTGTTCTCTGTCATAAATGTAAATGAACTCTTACAGGTCATGAACATCACCTCAGCCATCTTTATGTTTTTGCTGGGAGATGTGACTAAATAAGAATTGGAAATTCAGCACTGAGCGCAAATGAAGCAAATCTGTGCACCACTTTGGAAGAAAGAATGCTCTTCACAACTGTTTTCTATTGCAGGACCAGCAGCACTGCCAGTGCTTGGGAAGGTTAAGAACACTTCTGAAGAAACCACAAGGATGGTCTAAAGACAGCCTCTGAGCAGTGATCATCAAGATCTTTCTCTGGAGCTCCTACTCCAAATTAACTTTGCTCTCCTGCTTTTTAAATTCCTAAATAAATGCTATACCACAGAATCACCCTTGGTAGAAAAACAAGCAACTGACAGATTAATATTGATCATCATATATCATCACGACAGAAATGTGGCTGTGTAATCAAGGACAATTAAAGATGAAACATCACAGTCTTCTCTAGATCCTTGTAGTGCACAGACTGCTGCATCATATATGCAGTTCACAAACTAAATGGATCACTGTTGACTCTATGTCAACAGGTGCGCTTCAAAAGGTGAAAGAATAAAGATTCACTCTACTCTAGAAAAAAAATATTAAAAGGTCTGAAATCTTACTCTAAAGTAAGAAGCGACTGTCTGTGTCTTCATGCTGGTTGTCTCTCTTGGATGATGTCCAGTATCTCCTGCTTCATTCTATACAGGTGAAGAAAGAAAATTAAATTTTTTATCTCTGTTGAGCCTGTAGTGCCCTTTACAAGGCTAAATCACCCACAGAAAACATAACTAATTAAAAAGAAGAAGTATTATAAACAGAAAAAGTTATAGCATGATCACTAGCACAAACCAGTTACACCAGTACATTACATCACTTCACCACACAATACACAAATGTTCACACACAGAGGACACAACTTGATAACAGAGCATCTAAATAACTGCAACAAGTAACCTGACAATGTCTGAAGTCCTGTCTCTTACTTCATCATCACTGTTATTTTGGTAGTTCTCTAAGGAACTTGACTACTCCACACCAATGTTGTACTTGAGCTTTTTGTTACAATGCAGCTAGGAAATAATACTTTTTTCCTCTGAAGTTGTTACAAAACTATAGCCAGAAAGAAGCGAAATGTTAAGTTTTTACCTCACGGAAGGAATATGAATTGCACAACACAAAGATATCCAGCTAAACAGAAAAGAAAATAGGAGAGGGAGAAAAACCAAGGAAGGGGTTACTTGCTTACTTTTAGCACCAATAACAGTATTGCCTTTCTAGGTTAAATTAGGGTTCAATGCAGAATCCTGGAATCAGTTTTCTTACCTTTGTATGACTGATGGATTTCTTGGGGGTCCACATTTGGTAACTGATTGTAGTTTTGCTTTTTGTGTGTGCCAGGTTACCTATGGGAAGATGAAAGAAAGCAACCTACCAAAATGCTTACACCTCATCTAAACTAAAAACTATGCTGAGCAACCTTAGTCATGCCCCCAGTGTAGCCACATGATTATAGAGGTCATTGTCTTTTTCAGAGTATGTCCTTATTTGCCCTTTCAACCTTGGGATGAAACAAGCTCTGAAGAAGTTGCATGAAGATGGAACGTGGACTGAATTTTTCTCCTTCACTACTTATATGTCATCTACTAGAGCAAAAAAATAAACAAGCAGGCTGCAGCAGCAGGTAAGAATGATGCATCTTAGCGCATCCATGTGGTTTTACCCTAAGAATGTTATTGTGCTATTCTAGTTCTAAGGCTACATATATATTAGTTTAAAAAACAAAACAAAACAAAACAAGAGTTCTAGCACCCTTCTCTGGCCTTGAGGACAAGTGACATGGCATGACTCAAGTCTATACAGCTAAACTGCATATTTCACTACTTTTTTCACTTCCTGGTAAAAATAAGGTTGTATCTTTCCACAAAGGTTGTTGGAAGCCATTGCTGGCCTGTGCTTTCTCTTGAAGTGTGCCTGGGTATTTTTTGGAGACTGTTAGCTGACATGGTCCAAAACTGCTCTAGGGAGGGATGGTAACAATTAATCAGAATGGGAAATCCTGTGGAAGCATTTCAGCTACTGTTCACTGGCTCTGTTTGGTTTACTAGTATAGATACAGTCTTAAGACTCTAACCTTGGAATCCTTAATATAAGTAATACTTTTACTATAATGCCTTGAAGGACTAGGTGCATTGGAGTGGTTTACACAGACACTGGTCTTCTAAATGAGTAATGAAAATTCTGCTGAGCTTCTCTTCATGTCAGTCTATGGTGATAAACCCCAACGACTGCTGCATGCTGCCATTGCTCCTGCGAGTAACACCTCTGGAATCTCACTCTCCACTGGGAGAGCCTGTAATCTCTCTGTGTTCAGCTACTATCAGTAAGATGTGGGTAAGAGACGGTTAAACATCTGAAAATACACAACATGCTGAGCTAATGCATCACGTATTATGTGATTATATCAACTGCTAAATCTCCCTTGTGCTTAGCTGGCTATCTCAGGGTGGGAAGGAAAGAGAGAGGATTACTCACTCCTAACTTTAGTTATCTGAAAGTGAGGTGTCCATAGGATTGCTGTTCTATTCAGGGGAGAGACTCCTTCAGAGGAGATTTTTATTCCCTCCTAAGAGCAACACCTGAGATAGGCAAGATAGGTTGGACTCTGGGTAAATATCTACATTTCTGCTGCTTCTAGATTAATAAATTAGATGAGAAATCTAACTTTTAGTTGGCTATAGATGGATGGCTTGGGTCCATTTTGAAAGACTACACACAGTGTTTCATAACATTTAACTTGCAAAACATTACCTAAGACCTGGCATCAGTTCTTGGGACCCTTTGGGCCCTGACTTTGGCTCTTCAGAAATTACAGTTTAACATCTTAGCAGATAGCAACAAATCAAAAGGTTCAGGCAAGGTCATTCCCAGGAGCACCGATTTAAAGTAGACCTTCAAGACCAAATTTTGCATTCCACCAGCAAAGCTCCCTTTGTAAAGAAAAGGAGCCTTGCCAAAACCTCAGTTTCTGTAAGCCATGATAACATTTTAGAGACATTTCCATTATGCTCTTCCAATTTAGCTTTTCTGTTCTACATCTCCCTTGTAGTTGTAAAAGGAAGTCATGTTGTAAAGTACTTACTGTATGACATCATTGCCATCACACAGGGAGTAATAAACACAACCAGTTTGTTAACTGGTTGTAAGGAGGCTTACGCAGTATCTTAAAATGGCAGGTAAGACACTGTGCAAAGACCTGGTCCAGCTAAGGTGCAACTCAGGAGTAATTTCTGTAGACCCAGTCATATTCCTTCACCTCAACTTATGAACTCGCCCAGGAAGGACTCACTACTAGACTCCTATCAGTTAGCTATTGTGAAAGCTGGGAAACTGGGAAGTGTTTCCTCACTCTTTGCAGCAGATGCTAGGGGTTCTCTCCTACTTTAGAGAAAAGTTGCACTGAAACAAAACAGGCACATATATGCCCTGTCCAAAAAAGGCCAGTGACTTACCCGATCCTTTCTGTTCAGTCCTCAATTCAAGGGTTGCACTGGACTCCCTGTCTTGCTTCCCTAACCTGAGGAGAGAACCCTGAAAGAAGCCTCTACAACTTCCTTGGCACTTGACCAGACCAATCCCTCCCCTGCAGCTTGAGATGGCTGGGGGTCCATTCTGTATAGATTCTGGAGTTGGAAAGTTAAGCCACAAAGTGTATAATGTCATCAACAAATGGTCATAGGAAACCTACCAGTGATCATCATGAAGTCTAGAGAGGAATAAGAGGATTACCACAACAGCAATACCTGTTTTTGTGAGAGGGTGGGTTACCAACTGTCGTGTCAGATTGTTTTCAGATGATCGCAGTAGCAGCACAATATCAGCTGGCAGAGTATCTCTGTTTTTGGCTAGGAATCCACTTGCATTATATAGAACCTGTTTAAAAAGTGCATTTATGCATCTTCCGGGCTCTTGAAAAATACTTGTAAGTTTCAGCACTCTGGCATAGGGTTTTTAATATATCAAGATATAGAAATAGTTTTTCAGCCATCAGGCTCTCTCTTGCTTACAGTCTTTTCATCACTCAAAGAACTAACTTTTCAATACTGAGAGCCATTATGATGCAGGCCTCTAAAAGCAAATCCATCATTCCAAAGTAACTTGAGTTTTAGTCAGTGTGGATTTATCACTAGGACAAGTGTATTGTAGTCCTCCTTTACACTACTAGTACATGCGTAAATGCACTATTAACAATACACTTGATTTAAACCATATCACACAGGATTACCCATATGATTGTACAGTCCTTCTGTCCCATTCGTATTGTGCTGTACTAGAGCCAGGACCTACCACTATTCCTAGGGATCTGTATGAATTATAGAGGAAGTTTGCAAAATCACAAACTGCATATTGGCAATTGAAATCTCTAAAAATTCCAGGAATGGTGGACCTAACTCAAAATATATCCCCAGGACTCTATTTCATTGCTACTGTAATGGACCTACAAGAAAACCTGGCCTCTGAAGGACAGAAGATATTGGTTTATTTGATGTAGACAAAAATCCTCACAAAACAACCCAGCAGCAGTCTTACATTACAAAAAAATAGCTTGTAAATGAAGAGGAAATAAATTGTTCTCCAGTTCCACAGTAAACAGGACTAGTAGTAATTACTAGGAGTAATTGCATCACAGCAATGGACATGTAAGTTAGACAGTAGAAGAAACTTCCTAATGAAAAAGCATTTTGAACACTGGAAGGGGCTGATGGGGCACTGGTGGAATCCCCATCTTCAGTGGCTGGTGTCAGGAATGGTACAGGGAGAGCTGGATCTCCACTCCTCAGTGGCAAGATACACTATGCTGGTGAAGCTGCAGATGAGGTTCAGAGGAGTTACTGTAAGGAGTTTTTAATTGGCTGACTCACACAAGGGGCAAGTTCTCTTCCATCAGCTGATGGGCAGTATGTTGTCTTTCCAGGGCAGCTGCTCCAGCACTGCACAGACTCAACATTACCTCCTATGTGAGACAGCAATGCCCACACCATGCCCTTTAAAAGAGCTCAAAAGGAGGTGGGAGCTCCTGCTTTCACACAGTTCAGGTGTGAAAGTGGCATCTTGCTGTGGTGTGTCAGCAACTCCTCCTGAGTTTGAAAGGCATGTGCAGCAAGTCGCCTTGTACAGGAGGGCAAGAAGCTGCTCATCAAATGAAACAGAAAACAGGGCCTGTACTATACATATGGTTGATGAGAAAGTACAGAACTAAGAAAGGCGGATGGGGTGCAGGAGGTAGTAGAAAGAATGGAGCTGGATCCTGATTCAAAGCAGTGGAAACAAGCATGGCACAGGACTTTGAGGAACTGAGGGGAAGAACACTGAGTTGCATGACATAATGGTTATGTTTTGGTTCTTCTATAATACAGTCAATTAATTTACCTTGTGATATTTAAGAAAAATACACTCCTGCTATAGTTTTTTTTATGAGGAAAAAAGAATTTCAATTTGCTTTTGACATGTAAGGCACTGCCAACATTTCTATGACAGACCTGAACAGATGAAGGTGGAGAACCAACCCAGCTGACCTCTTCTATTTCCTAATCCACTACTGGTATTATTAGGTCTCTTACCTTTCCTGCATAGTGATAAATCCCAAAGGTTAGATCTACTCTTTTGGGTCTCCAAAAATATTTTGACTTCAAATTATCTTCAAATTTTTCTGAAATGAAACACACAGCTTATCTTACTGGAGTTAGTGTGCAACAATTGTCTTCTGAAGCTGTATCTCCTTAAGGATATCGCCTGAATTTTCAGACAACTCAAAGGCATGAAACAGACATTGATTTTTCTAGGGCAAAGGTGCCATAGTGGTCTTGTAAAAAAAAGCACTGGACAGGGAATGTAGTAGCTGTTGGATCAGTTACTTACTTTGTACTAAGTTTTTTCTGTCTGACCTCAGAAAATCACTTGACTTTCTAAGCTTGTGATCTTCGTATATGAAACATGCAGTAATCCTACCTAAGGACTCCTTGGGGAATTGTGAGGAAACATTCACCAGTTGTCTGAGGGACTCTGTACTGTAGACTAAAAAGTATGAGGATAGAAAGATGAGCTCATATAATTGCTTGAGCATGGGAGATGTTACTGGGTGTTACTAGGTTTTGTGATTGGTTAAAACTCCCATCTGACAATTTGCACATTCAAAAATGAATGAAACAAGGATTTGTCTGCACAGAAATCCCACTGACATAACAAAATCAACTATAACTGCAACTACTCAGGAGCACTGAAATATTCTGGATCTGAATTACAATTTATACAGGTGTTATAATTTTAATTTCTGAATAGAAAAAAACAGGAAGCATAACTTGCTGAAAGGCCCTAAGGCAGGTTTGCAGTCATTGCCCTCAGAAAGTACTAAAATTCCTGTTAAGATACAGCTCATCAAAAATCTCAGAGCTGAACATGACTCAACTTTAAAAACAGTGTTCTTGGCACATGAACCTAGAGTTTTAACCCAGTATGATCTTTATCTTTCAAGCCTTGCAGCTAAAAATTCCTGAAGTCAGGAGAATTCAAAACCTGGATCAGCAGCTTAGGTTCATTTTTACTCATCACCTCTCTCTCTAAACTTCAAAGATGCATCCATTCTTGCATGCATGCCTCCCTCAGATATACTGTGACACTGGAACGTGGGATTACTAAAAATGTAATTAGCATATCATCTAAATTGAACATGCTAAGAGATACCTAAGAGGGAGACACCCTGTGGCATAAACCATATACTTACCTACAAGTGTCTGATCGGTTGCTTGTGGGAATCGACTTTCCTCATCCAGCAGGGACAATAAACCCATTGGTTTCTGCAGGAACATATCTAAGAGTGGCCTGTTGTCTTCATACTCTATAACTCTTGCATCAACACCCTCATATAGGTATTCATTCTGTAACAAGCAACAGAAGGCACGTTTTGCCCATGTACACAGAACCACTTCAGAAAATAATTCATAAACTGTAAATTGTAGCAAATTAAAACTACACTGAAAAAGTATGCCCTGGGGCTAAAGACATCAGGATTTTACAGGAACAAATGTCAGTTTGGATGTACCACACTATGAGGCTATAGATTTTAATTTGCCTTTGGATATGTAAGTGCTTCCTATGGCATATTGGGACAAGTAAGGTGCCTTCCAGGAATATGAAAAAATTAAAGAAACAGAGTTGAAGAAGAGAAACTATAGAGTTTGCAGATGGAGACTGCAGTGTCTATTTACTTCCTGGTGTGTAATGTAGAAGTATATTTATTAATAATTTAGAGCTACATTGACATTGCAAATTCATTGCTCAGATCTATGTGATGTACAGTGGCCAAGATTTACAAAAATGACTACAATTTACAGAGGCCTCCACCTGGTAAAGTTCTTCTGTGGAGAAGAATGATGCACACGTTCTCTAACAGTTAAAGAATGGTGCACATTCATTGCACCATTGCATTCATTGGTGAGGCCACATCTGGAGTATTGTGTCCAGTTCTGGGCCCCTCAGTTCAAAAAGGACCGGGAACTGCTCGAAAGAGTCCAGTGCAGAGCTACGAAGATGATTAAGGGAGTGGAACATCTCCCTTATGAGGAAAGGCTGAGGGAGCTGGGTCTCTTTAGCTTGGAGAAAAGGAGACTGAGGGGTGACCTCATCAATGTTTACAAATATGTAAGGGGTGAGTGTCAGAGGGACGGAGTTAGGCTTTTCTCAGTGATGACCAGTGATAGGACAAGGGGTAATGGGTGTAAATTGGAGCATAGGAGGTTCAAGGTGAATATCCGAAAAAATTTTTTTACTGTAAGAGTGACAGAGCACTGGAACAGGCTGCCCAGGGAGGTTGTGGAGTCTCCCTCACTGGAGACATTCAAAACCCACCTGGATGCGTTCCTGTGTGATGTACTCTAGGTGACCCTGCTCTGGCAGGGGGGTTGGACTAGATGATCTCTCGAGGTCCCTTCCAGCCCCTAAGATTCTATGATTCTATGATTCTATGACATACTTTCTAAAAATTAAATAAATTGACTCAGGTTGGCCTCTATAACCCTTTCACTCCTTTTAAGGAACTAAGGAAAGGGATTCAGCAAGATAAAAAAGCAATAGAAAAGCTGGTGGGATTTTTGTGTGTTTGTTTGTTTGATTGTTTGCCTTTTTTTTTTTTTTTCTCCTCATGAATAATGCCAGGAATTGGATTCCTGGCAGACTGAGAAAAACCTGATAACAAATGCTGTGTCCACAGTGTGTTGTGGTGGTTTTATCTTGAAAATAATTTAAATTACAGCTGAAGAATACAAGCATGACTTTCTTCAGTCCTTCAGCAAGGCAGAGGATGGCTGTAGATTTAGCAACAGAAGGATGCTCTGGGGACTGCCACCCCTCCATCATGTTCACCTCCTTAGGTCATGCAGTAGCAGCTGCCCACTGCACAGAGCTCCCAGGTGCACCCAGGCTGCCCTCAGTCCTGTGCAGGCTATACTGTGAAACATGTAATTCAGCCTTTTTGATCTACCTTAAAAATCACCCCTCTTCCAAAGGATAGGACTTTATAAAAATGTGGTATTCATGTATGGTGTTAACATCACAGTTGTGCTATCCTGAATTAATTGTGAGAAGTGTGTCATAAACATGAATGATGGGCAACATGAATGAGTTCAAAGATCTTTGACCATAAAAGACGTCTCCTTATATGTCATTAGCTTGAGTGTGCATGAGTGAAGAAGGCAATATATTGAGCATTTAAAAAATGACCTAACTGTACATACAACAAAAAACCACATGTATTAGGCTTCATACCTCTTAATCTCTAAACTGGAGTGACACAGCAAAATGAATAAAATAATTAACACTGCCCTGGAAATACAAACCCAAATAAATAAATCTGTTGATCCTTTTGATAGAGAACATAGAATATGTATCTAAACCCTTCTAGGAACCAGACTGATATAATTTCCCTGGACACTCTTCACTCTAAGGATAGGTTATGGTCAGCTTCTATGCCCCTACAAGGGTGTAAGCAGCAAGAATCTCTCCTACAGACACATCCTCCTCATCTCAGACACATAATGCTAACTTCATTCACGTCTCCCCTGGAGCAATGGACAGGTGGAGTTTTGCTTTTTATTTTAATCAATGACCTGAGTAGCAGGAGAACACAGGAGAGTAATAAATTTATCACTGATACAGGCAAGAAGTTAATGATATACCTGTAGGAGCTAGTGTCAGGAAGGGAATGAGTCTGTGTGTTATCTCCCAAAGATAACAGCGGAGTAGGGGCAGCTTCACCGAGGGCTACAACTGTACTGACACACAGATGTTAGGTTCATGAAACCAGCTGTAACTGCTTAGGATTATCAAGAATGCACTTCGCAAGGGGGGAAAGGGAAGAGACTGCTCAGGATACATGCACCAGAAGCGTGTTTCTGTGACACTCGGACATCCTCAAACAAGCTCTCACAGACAACCTATCTAATGATTAACTTTTTTCAACTTCAAATGCTTGCAAGAGAGGCTGGCTTAGAGAGCTGATAAAAGAGTTCAGCTTGAGACTGGAAGGAGGTTTGAAGTAGCTGTGCTACTACACTGGAACAGCAACATCTGCTCCCCCCCTGCCTGGTCAGTGCATGGGGACTGTCCTTCCAATCTGCAGCATGTGTGACCATTCAGTCTTTTGTGTCTGCACCTCAACAACTGAATGAGTGTCAATGCTGATGGTCTCAGTTATGCTGCTGTGCACCCAGTAAGATGTGAAAGGAGTTCACTCCATCACTTCCCGTGGGCTCCTGGAGGATGGGCTGACATCCGAGTCTTCAGGCACCAGAGTGACAGATGGCTCAGAAATAAGATAGCACACCACATTTTCTTACGCAACACTAGTCTTCATTATTAGGACACAAGAAGCAAAGATAAAAGCCTTAACAATGCACATCATAAAACTGTAATGAAATAGATCTTGTTTGAATTAACAAGCTGAATCAGCTGTAGAATTCTGTAATCCCCCATGATGTTTTATGACAAGAAAGCTCCTAAAATTAGCAGCTGCTTATTGAAATTCTAAAGCATAATCCACTAGAAAGTGTTCCCGTGGATGAGATTTCAAAAAGGAATGACTGAGTTACGCTAATACTTGGACTTCTATCTCATCTCAGTATCTTTTCTATGATCAAAATGAGATAATATTAGTTCACGCAAACTGGTTTCACTTGATAACAGAATAATTATTTAATGTGTTAGGAAATGGTCTTTATGTTTAATAAAAAAAAGGTAATAGCATTTTGCTGAAAATAGGGTATGATGACATTTTGGTTTAAATGGGAACACTGGAGACTTATTCAGAATTAACTTTTCCAGCTTGAACAGATTATAAAATTTTCATATGAACGTATTGCACATATTTAATGCAAAAAATAGCATCCTTCCATCCAACAGTAAGCTTGTCACTTTCTGAAATATTTTAGGTATTTGATACTACACCTTTTACTTTTTGTGGAAGAGTCACAAATAAGAAATAAATGGGAATTTTGTCTTGTGATTCAATGTTACTTGCAGATCATGGAGCTGAGAGAGAGCTAACTAACATGCATCAGTACCTTACATGTGAAAGAAACACTTTGAAGGACTGGACTGAAGGTGCAATAGTCATGCTTTGCTTAATAAAAGCTTGTGCTAGCATTCATTCCACTTAACTACAGACACATAAAAGAAGTGACTAAGTTCAGAGGCCACCTTTCCACCCAGTCAGTGGAGACAGAGATGTATCTGTTTGTCTCCACTGACTATTGGAAATCTAAATTAGCTATAGTTAGCTATACTCCCCACTTCAGCCTTTCAATCAAATTAGGGAAAG